TCTCTGGTCTCTCTCTGGTCTCTCTCTGGTCTCTCTCTGGTCTCTCTCTGGTCTCTCTCTGGTCTCTCTCTGGTCTCTCTGATCACTCTCTGGTCTCTCTCTGGTCTCTCTCTGGTCTCTCTCTGGTCTCTCTCTGGTCTCTCTGATCACTCTCTCTCTCTCTGGTCTCTCTCTGGTCTCTCTCTGGTCTCTCTCTGGTCTCTCTGGTCTCTCTCTAGTCACTCTCTGGTCTCTCTCTGGTCTCTCTCTGGTCTCTCTCTGGTCTCTCTCTGGTCTCTCTGATCACTCTCTGGTCTCTCTGGTCTCTCTCTAGTCTCTCTCTAGTCTCTCTCTGGTCTCTCTCTGGTCTCTCTCTAGTCTCTCTCTAGTCTCTCTCTGGTCTCTCTCTCTGGTCTCTCTCTGGTCTCTCTCTGGTGTCTCTCTCTAGTCTCTCTCTCTGGTCTCTCTCTGGTCTCTCTCTGGTCTCTCTCTCTTTTTCTCTGGTCTCTCTCTCTCTGATCACTCTCTGGTCTCTCTGGTCTCTCTCTAGTCACTCTCTGGTCTCTCTCTGGTCTCTCTCTCTCTCTGGTCTCTCTCTCTCTGGTCTCTCTCTGGTCTCTCTGATCACTCTCTGGTCTCTCTCTGGTCTCTCTCTGGTCTCTCTCTGGTCTCTCTCTGGTCTCTCTCTGGTCTCTCTCTGGTCTCTCTCTGGTCTCTCTCTGGTCTCTCTGGTCTCTCTGGTCTCTCTCTGGTCTCTCTCTGGTCTCTCTCTGGTCTCTCTCTGGTCTCTCTCTGGTCTCTCTCTGGTCTCTCTCTGGTCTCTCTGTCTTCTTCTTGTAACATATTCTAATTCTTCTCATAAAATGTCAGTTGAAACGAAGCGCCCAGAGCCAGGTGTAAAATTCTTTCCTCACTATGTTTTTATGCGTCTTGGTTTTACACCGGCCGCGATCCGTAACAACCATAAAACTCTGTGGTCCTCGGGATGCGGCGGAGACAGACACCCACCTGGTCCGTGTGCGTTTATGGTCTTTACAAAGTCGAGAGGATCTGGTGAATGTGTGAAAGGTTATGGTCTTTTCTACCGCCCCCAACTCGCTCACAGGCTTCTCCTTTTCCCCACGCTCTCCTCCCACGGAGCCACCTACTGTTATTTGTGATCTGATACATATGCTAACATTAGCATTAGCACAACAATAGTCCGAGCGTAGATAGTCCGAGCGTAGATAGTCCGAGCGTAGATAGTCGGAGCGTAGATAGTCGGAGCGTAGATAGTCCGAGCGTAGATAGTCCGAGCGTAGATAGTCCGAGCGTAGATAGTCCGAGCGTAGATAGTCCGAGCGTAGATAGTCCGAGCGTAGATAGTCCGAGCGTAGATAGTCCGAGCGTAGATAGTCCGAGCGTAGATAGTCGGAGTGTAGATAGTCCGAGCGTAGATAGTCCGAGCGTAGATATGTCGGAGTGTAGATCGTCCGAGCGTAGATAGTCGGAGCGTAGATAGTCGGAGCGTAGATAGTCGGAGCGTAGATAGTCCGAGCGTAGATAGTCCGAGCGCAGATAGTCCGAGCGTAGATAGTCCGAGCGTAGATAGTCCGAGCGTAGATAGTCGGAGCGTAGATAGTCGGAGCGTAGATAGTCGGAGCGTAGATAGTCGGAGCGTAGATAGTCCGAGCGCAGATAGTCCGAGCGTAGATAGTCCGAGCGTAGATAGTCAGAGCGTAGATAGTCCGAGCGTAGATAGTCCGAGCGTAGATAGTCCGAGCGTAGATAGTCGGAGTGTAGATCGTCCGAGCGTAGATAGTCCGAGCGTAGATAGTCGGAGTGTAGATAGTCCGAGGCGGTCCCGCAGGTCTCTCCCATAGACCAGTCTCTCCAGAGGATACGATGTAAGCTAGCTCTGTTCAGGGCTTGGTTTCTTCTTTGATCATCCTTCTCTCTCTCTTTCTCTCCTTGCTCTCTCCTCTTTCTCCTTCTCTCTCTCTCCTTCTCTCTCCTCTCTCTCTCTCCTCTCTCCTTCTCCCTCCCTCTCTCTCTCCTTCTCTCTCTCTCCTCTGTCCTTCTCTCTCTCTCTCTGCTCTCTCCTTCTCCCTCCCTCTCTCTCTCTTTCTCTCTCTCTGCTCTCGTTCCACACTCAGAACATGGGGGAACCCTGTGCTTTGTGCTCCGTCCCCCTTCCATTCCCTTCCCCCGCGCGCCTGTTAAAACCTTCCCCTAATCTCCAGCGCAGCACACGGCTCTCTGATAAAAAGCGCCAAAATTAATTACCCATTAATTATCACTTATCGCTCGCTCAAAAAGAAGGCACAAAGCAGAGACACAGGTTTGACTCCTGCGCCAGAACGGGAACGTGTGTTAGCTTAGCGTGTGTTAGCCTAGCGTGTGTTAGCTTAGCGTGTATGTTATATGTAATGTGTACAGAGTCAGGCTTAGAATTAGGTTGAAGTTATTTGTTTAGCACAGTTCGTACACAAGCCAACTCAAAATGGCAAACAAAACGAGGAAATTAATTAAAATCCTCGTTAACCACACGACATAGAACTCCCAGAGCAGTCAAACTGACGGCTTTTTGTTTTGGAGGGATCAGTAATTAGCCTATGTTATGTACATGTTTTGCTATTATTGTTATTCTTGCTCTGCAGTCTGAATCTCTGGTCTCTCTCTCTCTGGTCTCTCTCTCTCTGGTCTCTCTCTCTCTCTCTCTCTGGTCTCTCTCTCTCTCTCTGGTCTCTCTCTCTCTCTCTCTCTTTCTATCTCTCTGCTCTTTCTGTCTCTGGTCTCGCTCTGGTATTTCTGGAATCTCTCTCTGTCTCTCTGATTTCTCTCTCTCTGCTTTCTCCCTTTTTCTCTGATCTCTCTCTGGTCTCTCTCTCTCGCTGATCGCTCTCTCTGCTCTCTCTCTCTGATCTCTCTCTTTGGTCTCCCTCTTTCTGGTCATGTGGTCATGACTCTCTCGCTCTTATCTCTCTCTCTCTGATTTTTCTCTCTGCGCTCTCTCTCATCTCGCATCCACATGTAGTCCGAGTGTAGACAGTCCGAGCATAGATAGTCTCTCTGGTCTCTCTCTCTCTCTCTCTGATCCCTCTCTCTCTCTGCTCTCTCTGGTCTCTCTCTCTCTGGTCTCTCTCTCTCTCTCTGTAGTGAACTCCAAACGTCAGAATAATCGTAAACAAACCCTAAGTTTAAAGTGTAAAGTCCTGAACCCGGAGAAGGGTCTGTCCTCAGTCTCTCTCACCTCCTTCTTTTGTCCTCTTTCTGATTAAAATCTAATGTTTAAATTATGTAAATGTGTGGGAGGAGGTGATGAACGACGGTAAATAACTGCAGCAGAAGTTACAGTTAATGAAGGAGTTTTATTCAAAGTCTGTCGTCCAATCAGAGACCAGTGACATCATCGTTTGGTTAAAAAAAAACTAGACTTGATCACTTTTATCAGTTACTTTGAGCATTGATTGTGACTCACAGCAAGAAGGTCCTGGGTTCGATACCACCTCCCGACCTCTCTGTGTGGTGCGTGTTCTCCCTGTGTCTCTGTAGGTTTCCTCCAGGTGCTCCATGTGTCTCCCTGATCTCTCTCTGGTCTGTCTGGAATCTTTGATCTCTCTCTCTCTCTCTGATCTCTCTCTCTGATCTCTCTCTCTGGTCTCTCTCTCTGGTCTCTCTCTCTGGTCTCTCTCTGGTCTCTCTCTGGTCTCTCTCTCTGGTCTCTCTCTCTGGTCTCTCTCTCTGGTCTCTCTCTCTGGTCTCTCTCTCTGGTCTCTCTCTGGTCTCTCTCTGGTCTCTCTCTAGCCTCTCTCTGGTCTCTCTCTAGTCTCTCTCTGGTTTCTCTCTGGTTTCTCTCTGGTCTCTCTCTGGTTTCTCTCTGGTTTCTCTCTGGTCTCCCTCTGGTTTCTCTCTGGTCTCTCTCTGGTCTCTCTCTGGTCTCTCTCTGGTCTCTCTCTAGTCTCTCTCTAGTCTCTCTCTGGTCTCTCTCTAGTCTCTCTCTAGTCTCTCTCTGGTCTCTCTCTGGTCTCTCTCTGGTCTCTCTCTGGTCTCTCTCTAGTCTCTCTCTGGTCTCTCTCTGGTCTCTCTGGTCTCTCTCTAGTCTCTCTCTCTGCTGTCTTCTCTCATGGCCCCTGGTGAACATCTCTCTTCACTAGTTCTGAGGTTGTTTTTGTTCATTCTTTCACAGACACCATTATTTCTTGTACATTTTTAGCTTGTTTTGATCATGTACTCGTCTCTTGCGCAAGTATTCCAATGTGGTTTTACTACAAATGGCAACAATCAATCAAAAAATACAGCACAATCATCCAAAGTGAACCTGTCTTTTCTAGACTCTTAAACCTGCATAGACTCCTTTTAATTTGCGAAAAACAAAGCGAAGAAGGTGCCAGACTCTCGGCACTTGCACTTCTCCCACGAAAACCTTTTAACCCAGAACATTTTGGACTTGAACCCACGGTCGTCTTAAATATTTCACCGCCGCATTTACAATTGATACAGGCTCTTTCTGCCTGATTGTGCTTTGGCTGGAACCGACCCCGGCACATTTTGTTCCAGAATCAGTGAACTCTGAGACCCATGAGACCCGATGTCACAAAGTAGGCCAGACTCCGGGACTCGGGGGGTCGGGTCTGTGTTCCACGCTGGATTCTGCTTCGTAAATGGATTGTGAAAAGATTTGCTTTTTTGGGGGGGGTGGGGGCAAAACAGAAATTAAAAGAAAGTAGTTATGACTTGTTCTGTTTGAGAGAAGTTTGTTGAGTTCAAACTTTTGGAGAGAGATGGAGGAAGATTCAGACGAGGGGTGAGGGTGGAGGGGGTGAAGGATGGAGGGGTGAGGGTGGAGGGGGTGAAGGATGGAGGGGGTAAGGGTGGAGGGGGTAAGGGTGGAGGGGGGTGAGGGGTGGGGGGGGTGGGGGTGGAGGGGGTGAGGGTGGAGGGGGTGAGGGTGGAGGGGGTGAAGGATGGAGGGGGGGAGGGGGTGAGGGTGGAGGGGGTAAGGGTGGAGGGGGTGAGGGTGGAGGGGGTGAAGGATGGAGGGGGGGAGGGGGTGAGGGTGGAGGGGGTATTATTAATATTAGTGATGCCCCGACACCAACGCTGGTATCTGCTCAAGACCATAGGTTTGTACTCTTGCTCAAAACATAGTGACATTGTTCAGTGGATATTCTGAAGTTACAGTGTTTGCACATTGGACATGATTTAAAAATGTACTTATTTACAGATGGATGACGTTTACAGACTCAGCAGTTCTCATTGTACAGTCTGACAGCAGCAGGAAGGACAGCAAGGGTGAACTAGTGAATTCCAGTCACTTCTTTCCCAAACTCTGATGTCCAAACTGCTCCAGGTTTTAGGCTCGTTCCAAACGCACTTAAAACGTAGAATCCTCTCTTCAAACCGACAGTGAAAGAAGATCTGAGGCTGTTCTGGCTTCTTCCTTTGCTCCTGTTCTGGCTTCTTCCGTTGCTCCTGTTCTGGCTCCTTCCTTTGCTCCTGTTCTGGCTTCTTCCGTTGCTCCTGTTCTGGCTTCTTCCTTTGCTCCTGTTCTGGCTTCTTCCTTTGCTCCTGTTCTGGCTTCTTCCTTTGCTCCTGTTCTGGCTTCTTCTCTCGCTCCTGTTCTGGCTTCTTCCGATGCTCCTGTTCTGGCTTCTTCCGATGCTCCTGTTCTGGCTTCTTCCGATGCTCCTGTTCTGGCTTCTTCCTTTGCTCCTGTTCTGGCTTCTTCTCTCGCTCCTGTTCTGGCTTCTTCCGATGCTCCTGTTCTGGCTTCTTCCGATGCTCCTGTTCTGGCTTCTTCCGATGCTCCTGTTCTGGCTTCTTCCTTTGCTCCTGTTCTGGCTTCTTCCTTTGCTCCTGTTCTGGCTTCTTCCTTTGCTCCTGTTCTGGCTTCTTCCGTTGCTCCTGTTCTGGCTTCTTCCGTTGCTCCTGTTCTGGCTTCTTCCGTTGCTCCTGTTCTGGCTTCTTTCTTTGCTCCTGTTCTGGCTTCTTCCTTTGCTCCTGTTCTGGCTTCTTCCTTTGCTCCGGTTCTGGCTTCTTCTCTCGCTCCTGTTCTGGCTTCTTCCGATGCTCCTGTTCTGGCTTCTTCCGATGCTCCTGTTCTGGCTTCTTCCGATGCTCCTGTTCTGGCTTCTTCCGATGCTCCTGTTCTGGCTTCTTCCTTTGCTCCTGTTCTGGCTTCTTCCGATGCTCCTGTTCTGGCTCCTTCCTTTGCTCCTGTTCTGGCTTCTTCCTTTGCTCCTGTTCTGGCTTCTTCCTTTGCTCCTGTTCTGGCTTCTTCCTTTGCTCCTGTTCTGGCTTCTTCCTTTGCTCCTGTTCTGGCTTCTTCCTTTGCTCCTGTTCTGGCTTCTTCCTTTGCTCCTGTTCTGGCTTCTTCCTTTGCTCCTGTTCTGGCTTCTTCCGTTGCTCCTGTTCTGGCTCCTTCCTTTGCTCCTGTTCTGGCTTCTTCCGTTGCTCCTGTTCTGGCTTCTTCCTTTGCTCCTGTTCTGGCTTCTTCCGTTGCACCTGTTCTGGCTTCTTCCGTTGCTCCTGTTCTGGCTCCTTCCTTTGCTCCTGTTCTGGCTTCTTACGTTGCTCCTGTTCTGGCTTCTTCCTTTGCTCCTGTACTGGCTTCTTCCTTTGCTCCTGTTCTGGCTTCTTCCGTTGCTCCTGTTCTGGCTTCTTCCTTTGCTCCTGTTCTGGCTTCTTCCTTTGCTCCTGTTCTGGCTCCTTCCTTTGCACCTGTTCTGGCTTCTTCCTTTGCTCCTGTACTGGCTTCTTCCTTTGCTCCTGTTCTGGCTTCTTCCGTTGCTCCTGTTCTGGCTTCTTCCGTTGCTCCTGTTCTGGCTTCTTCCGTTGCTCCTGTTCTGGCTTCTTCCGTTGCTCCTGTTCTGGCTTCTTTCTTTGCTCCTGTTCTGGCTTCTTCCTTTGCTCCTGTTCTGGCTTCTTCCTTTGCTCCTGTACTGGCTTCTTCCGTTGCTCCTGTTCTGGCTTCTTCTCTCGCTCCTGTTCTGGCTTCTTCCTTTGCTCCTGTTCTGGCTTCTTCCGATGCTCCTGTTCTGGCTTCTTCTCTCGCTCCTGTTCTGGCTTCTTCCTTTGCTCCTGTTCTGGCTTCTTCCGATGCTCCTGTTCTGGCTCCTTCCTTTGCTCCTGTTCTGGCTTCTTCCTTTGCTCCTGTTCTGGCTTCTTCCTTTGCTCCTGTTCTGGCTTCTTCTCTCGCTCCTGTTCTGGCTTCTTCCTTTGCTCCTGTTCTGGCTTCTTCCGATGCTCCTGTTCTGGCTCCTTCCTTTGCTCCTGTTCTGGCTTCTTCCTTTGCTCCTGTTCTGGCTTCTTCCTTTGCTCCTGTTCTGGCTCCTTCCTTTGCTCCTGGCAGTGAGGTTGTATTTTCCACCGCTCCGTCTGAGCCTGTTTTCCGGAGCTTTTCCCGTCCGTGCTCACCTCCGAGTGGGAATCCCGACCTCCCCACTTCCATGAGTCATACGGCCTCCCCCTCTCCCCTCTTCTTCCTCTCCTCTCTCTGGTCTCTCTCTCCTCTCTCTAGTCTCTCTCTGGTCTCTCTCTGGTCTCTCTCCTCTCTCTCTCTCTGGTCTCTCTGTGGTCTCTCTCTCTCTGGTCTCACTCTGGTCACTCTCCTCTCTCTCTCTCTCCTCTCTCTGGTCTCTCTCCTCTCTCTCTCTCTGGTCTCTCTGTGGTCTCTCTCTCTCTGGTCTCACTCTGGTCTCTCTCCTCTCTCTCTCTCTCCTCTCTCTGGTCTCACTCTGGTCTCTCTCCTCTCTCTCTCCCTGGTCTCTCTGTGGTCTCTCTCTCTCTGGTCTCACTCTGGTCTCTCTCCCCTCTCTCTCTCTCCTCTCTCTGGTCTCTCTCCTCTCTCTCTCTCTGGTCTCTCTGTGGTCTCTCTCTCTCTGGTCTCACTCTGGTCTCTCTCCTCTCTCTCTCTGGTCTCTCTGTGGTCTCTCTCTGTCTCTGGTCTCACTCTGGTCTCTCTCCTCTCTCTCTCTCTCCTCTCTCTGGTCTCTCTGTGGTCTCTCTCTCTTCTCTGTGGTCTCTCTCTTTCTGGTCTCTCACTCTGGTCTCTCTCCTCTCTTTCTCTCTCCTCTCTCTGGTCTCTCTCTCTCTGGTCTCACTCTCTCTGGTCTCTCACTCTGGTCTCTCTCTCTCTCTCTCTCCTCTCTCTGGTCTCTCTTTCTCTCCTCTCTCTCTCTCTCCTCTCTCTGGTCTCTCTGTGGTCTCTCTCTCCTCTCTCTCCTCTCTCTGGTCTCTCTCTCTCTGGTCTCACTCTCTCTGGTCTCTCACTCTGGTCTCTCTCTCTCCTCTCTCTGGTCTCTCTCTCCTCTCTCTCTTCTCTCTGGTCTCTCTCTCTCTGGTCTCTCACTCTGGTCTCTCTCCTCTCTTTCTCTCTCCTCTCTCTGGTCTCTCTCTCTCTGGTCTCACTCTCTCTGGTCTCTCACTCTGGTCTCTCTCTCTCTCTCTCTCCTCTCTTTGGTCTCTCTCTCTCCTGAGCCTGTTTTCTGGAGCTTTCCCGTCTGTCTCTCCACGTCCGGTTCTCTGCGAGTGGGCATCCCGACCTCCCCACGTCCATGAGTCATACGGCCTCCCCCCCTCCCCCCTCTCCCCCCCCCCCCCCCCCTCTCCCCCCTCTCCCCCCTCCTCCCCCCTCTCTCCTGCCTGCTCGCTGCTCTGTGCTGAATGGAGGCGGCAGTAGCTCAGTTGGTAGAGCGTTGGCCTTTGAGCCAGAAGGTCGTGGGTTCAAGCCCCGCTCAAGACTTTCACCATCGACTCCCACTGACTACTGTCGTTGTGTCCTTGGCAAGACACTTAACCTCTGGGAACACCAGCCACAGTGGGGCGGCTGCGGCTGTAAAGTGCCAAACTGCCGTTGTGTCCTTAGGCAAGACACTTCACCCCCATTGCCTAGAATGAGTCTGGTGTGTGTATGAATGGTTGGTGGTGGTCGGAGGGGCCGATGGCACAGACTGGTTGCCTCGCTTCTGTCAGTGTGCCCCAGGGCAGCTGTGGCTACATTAGTGGTTTATCACCACTGTGTTTGGAGAGAATGAATAATGACACATGTGAAGCGTCTTTGAGTGTCCAAAAGCGCTATATAAAAAAACCGATGCATTATTTGTGTTTTCCCTTTTGCACGCCTGCTGCAGCGAGCTTTACACTTCAGCTCCTCTAACCTCTGTGCTGTGTGTGTCCAGGTGACTTTACTCTGAGATTTATAATTATTTATTTATTTAATTTATTCAGACACACAAACAGTTCATACACCACACAAAACCAACAAACACACAATAGTACAATGTGAAGACAGGTTTTGCAGCTGTTGCTACGGGCGCCATGTGTATGAACTGGGTCTACAGCCTCAGTCCTGGGTCTACAGTCTCAGTCCTGGGTCTACAGCCTCAGTCCTGGGTCTACAGCCTCAGTCCTGGGTCTACAGCCTCAGTCCTGGGTCTACAGCCTCAGTCCTGGGTCTACAGCCTCAGTCCTGGGTCTACAGCCTCAGTCCTGGGTCTACAGCCTCAGTCCTGGGTCTACAGCCTCAGTCCTGGGTCTACAGCCTCAGTCCTGGGTCCTACAACCTCAGTCCTGGGTCTACAGCCTCAGTCCTGGGTCTACAGCCTCAGTCCTGGGTCTACAGCCTCAGTCCTGGGTCTACAGCCTCAGTCCTGGGTCCTACAACCTCAGTCCTGGGTCTACAGCCTCAGTCCTGGGTCCTACAACCTCAGTCCTGGGTCTACAGCCTCAGTCCTGGGTCTACAGCCTCAGTCCTGGGTCTACAGCCTCAGTCCTGGGTCTACAGCCTCAGTCCTGGGTCTACAGCCTCAGTCCTGGGTCTACAGACTCAGTCCTGGGTCTACAATCTCAGTCCTGGGTCTACAGCCTCAGTCCTGGGTCTACAGACTCAGTCCTGGGTCTACATCCTCAGTCCTGGGTCTACAGCCTCAGTCCTGGGTCTACAGCCTCAGTCCTGGGTCTACAGCCTCAGTCCTGGGTCTACAGCCTCAGTCCTGGGTCTACAGACTCAGTCCTGGGTCTACAGCCTCAGTCCTGGGTCTACAGCCTCAGTCCTGGGTCTACAGCCTCAGTCCTGGGTCTACAGCCTCAGTCCTGGGTCTACAGCCTCAGTCCTGGGTCTACAGCCTCAGTCCTGGGTCTACAGACTCAGTCCTGGGTCTACATCCTCAGTCCTGGGTCTACAGCCTCAGTCCTGGGTCTACAGCCTCAGTCCTGGGTCTACAGACTCAGTCCTGGGTCCTACAGCCTCAGTCCTGGGTCTACAGCCTCAGTCCTGGGTCTACAGCCTCAGTCCTGGGTCTACAGCCTCATTCCTGGATCGACAATAAATCAGGCCTAAACACAAATGATCCTCACACGGCGTCAGACAAGACAAATGCCCGGGCCTCCTCCCCTCCCTCCCTCCCTCATCCCCTCCCTCCCCCGTCCCTCACCCCTCTCAGCCATACAATCCAACGCACGGCTAACGCGGTCGATGCTAACCTAATCCCGGCGCGGCCCCCGGAGCCACCGCGAGCCCGTTCTTAGCCTCGGAATGAAGAGGGGAAGAGAGAGGCAGCGGCACAAATAAAGACAGCTAGCTCCAATTGTGCCGAGATCAGAGGAGGAGGCTCCGGACGAGGAGTCCATGGACAGAGACCGGCCCAGACTGCAAAACCGGTCTGGCTCGGAGCGGGATTTAGGTTCTATAAAAGTGGGGAAAGGACTGGATGTAAATGAAGCAATAACGACGGGAGATAATTAGACTTTTATACCATTTGGATTTGATTATGTTTTGGTTCTACGAGATTATAATTTAAACTAGAGACTGTAGAACGTAAACACAGGTGTACAGTCCAGAAGTTCAATTCCCACCCTCTACTCCCTCCCTCCCCTCCCTCCCTCCCCTCCCTCCCTCCCCTCTCTGGTCTCTCCTTCTGGTCCCTCCTCCCCTCCCCCTCCCCTCCCTCTGGTCTCTCTCTGGTCTCCCCCTCTCCCTCCCCTCCCCCTTCTCTCTCTCTCTGGTCTCTCCCTCTGGTCCCCCTCCCCTCCCTCTGTTCTCTCTCTTTGGTCTTCCCCTCTCCCCCCTCCCCCTCTGGTCTCTCTCTCTCTGGTCTCCCCCCTCTCCTCT